AAATCACCAAAATAAAGTTATAAAAGCAATGTAACAGTGATCATAGGAACTGTGATTCAAATTTAACAATAAACGATATACATAACATGTACGACCAAACTTTGTAGCCATAGCTGTCAGTACGAGTCACTCCATAACAGCAGGAGTATCAGCAGGAGTATCAAACATTTTCAATGCACTTTTAAAGATCAGCACACTACAATCAAAACTCAAGATCATACTTTGCAGTGGACATCCAGAGCGATGCATTTGATTTCAGGCGACTCTGCATAGCAGTGGCAGCGGGGGGTGTACAGCTCCTCAAGAGCAGTTTTGAGTGAAGATCTCACAGGTAGTGATCCAAGTTGCAGTTTATTGGCGATAGCATTCCAGACCCTGGGGGCATCAACAGCAAAGGACCTTCCTCATTTGTTCTTCGAAACAGTGAGGAGATCCAGCAGGTAGTCTGATGATTTTTTTGTAAGTACATCGTGAATAAATAAGATCTGATGCACAAGCCGTCGATCATTAAGAGATGTTAAGTTTGACCCGATGTAGAGATCGCAGCGACTGAACCAGTTCAATGTGTAAAAACAATCGCCACTGGGGAGACAAAGGCGGTCGGGCATGGTGTTGGCCACCCACTCCCTCGTGTACCGTGCTGACCTTCAGAGGTGTTTGCAAACAGCATTTGCCCCAACAGTCGGTTAAGGCCATACGGGGGATCTTTGTTGGCTATTGGTCACATCCAATATCAACAGGGAATATCTCCTGGCCTCTGCTTAGGTGGAGTCAGTCTTAAATGAGAACTTGGTGCAGTGTGTAAACATAAACTGTGAAGACAACGTGGTATGGCATAGTGTTGGTCACATCACTCGCCATACCAGCGTTCAGATGTGTTCACTTGCAGCACATGCTCCAATGGTCTGTGCAGCTACATGGAGGATCTTTGTCTTTGCGTGTGCGTGGGTGTGCGTTTGCCGGTGCTCGCTAACAGCACTTGCCTCTACAGTCTGTTAAGGCTATACGGGGGATCTTTGTCTTTGTTTGCCGGTGGGACAGCAGATGAGGAAATGCCTGAATGAGAGCGAAACCGGGAAGCGGATGATGCAGAGCCGGCGATGCTGAGGCTGTGTGGTGCTGCTGTGAGAGATGGCTCGTGACCAGGAGCCATTATTCATGAATTGTCTTTGTTTATCACAGAGCGTCGATGATGTAGACGTGGTGTTAATCGCCTAGCGCTCAACATTATTATACAAGGAACTGCAGGGCGGACTTCGGTGCCCTTTGGTCCACGCCGATTTAGATTTACGCGCGATCGCACGCGCAAAATCACGCAAACGTTACGCTCGTGCATTGCAGATCCGACTCGGCTGCTTGAAGTCGTTTGTTAAGAAGCCACCAACAGCGCTGCCGCGGGCCATTATTACTGTTATGATTCAGCACACATTCGCGTGAAGGAAAACCAGCCACCACGTGAATTACACTCGACATCAGCGGGAAATAAACGGCGATAATGTGAAACCGTTTGGGCAGTTACACCGCTTCACATTCCTCTGGCGAGCAACGTCGTTGTGGCGCGTCTCCCCACCCCACCCCGCCTCTCTATCTGGAATGCCGCATTGTGTTTTCACGACTGCACGCTGCTCGTGAATAAATCGCACGGCTAATTAAATTTCCCTGCGTTGACCCCTGATTCGTGCACCAAAGCGGAACGCGTGCCCTGCCAGTGCCGTGGGGCCACGCGTTCGTTTCCTTCACGCGCCGCCTCGTTTTACCCTTGTGGTGCGCGCACCACCCCCCCCTCCCCAATCTCAAAATAAAAATGATAACATTGCAGATGAGGAGAGTGATGGCGAGTGGGTGGGCAGGTGGATATGGGGCTGCGTCCCTTTCGTGTGCCTGAATGAGCACCACGCCCCCTTGTGTGGGGGAGGCAACCTCATCGTGATGGACATTATCATCGACATCATCATCATCATCATTCTGCATCCATCATCATTGTTCATTCATCATCGTCATAATTTATCGTCTTCATCAGTCACAACCTGATGGGAGAGCTTGTGTTTTTCGTTTTGCTGAAAGCTCGAGTAAGGTTTGTGTTTTTTTTTATTGGTAAAAAGACATGGCAATTGCTTTTATATAATGTAGAGTGTGTGGTACATGCTGCCTTGCTGGAAATTAATGCAGGGTTTATTTTAAATATTGAATTGGGCTGTTTTTCTTCTAAGGGAGTTAAGTGGGGGTTCAGCGATTTGCGGACTGGACTTTAACTTGGCAATGGCTAACATCAGTGGCGAGTGATATCTGAACCATTCCTTTAACCCCCTTTCTCCTACACGGGGAAGTATGGTCAAAGAACCCCAATGATCGACAGTCACATGAGAAGTCATTCATCCAATCGTAGATTTGGCAAGGAGGCTATCACATTATTTAATGTTTACTAAACAAGGGAAGTTATTGAGGATATGTGAAGCTTTGTTGACTGGAATGTGTACTCTTCCCTTGAGGGTTTTACCAGTGTGGGCGCATTTGATCTTGTGTTTTTAATTTCAGGCGCATCCTCTGTAAAATGGAGCATTCATATTTCAAGACCCATGGTAGCTTGCCAGGAAATGTTGTGTAATATTCAATGTAGCGCACATGCTTTGCACAGACACTGCGCAGTTAACATTACACTTCCTCCAACATCGGATCCTCCAACACATCGAACTTCGTTTGTTTTACTAAGGTGGGGGGGGGGTTGGCGGCGGCAGGGGGGCAGGAAGGCTCCAGGAAACCTTGAGTCTGGGCGGTGGAGGCAGTGAGGTGGCTGCAGCCAAGCAATAGCCAGCAGGCAGCTGAATACAATCTGAGCCTCGACTGTTCAGCATGTAACGGCGTGCCGATACTTCGATTTAAATCGATTCTTTCTGGAGGATGTATATATTTTTTCATAGAACTCCCATTCCTATGCTGGATGAAGGCCTCCCCATGGACAGCCATGTCGACGGTGGCGGTTGTTTGACCAAACTTCAGCATGCTCGTCAGTACGGGTTGGTGGAAGAGTGCATTTTGGGGTGGAACGATGCATTAGTTCATAGGATAGAAGCAATTCAAACAGCTTGTGATGCGTGTTTAAGAATCGATGTGTTGTTGATTTGTATGTGTAATATGACCTATCCCTCCTGCCACTCGCAACTAGAGGCCACTACATGAACCATAGCTGATTTTTTTTATCGACTTGAGTCCCTCCTGAATCTTGATAATTCATCAAATTACCAGGTTAAAGTAGCTAAGCCTTCATTTTGCAGACTGCAGGTTTTCACAAATTAATTAGGGGTGCGAATCGTTACATTTGTAATATCTAACAGCACATCCAATCATGCACATGTAAGACTCAATCAACTCGCGTAAATAATACACGTTTGCATAAACGAGTCGGTAAAAAACAAGATAGAAATTAATCCATTGACTTTAAAGGGCACAACAACTATGACAAAACATCAGCAATACTTTAAACAGGTCCCTGCAGGGTGGGCTGGTAGGACAAGTCTCTACGCTGTATATTGCTGATTTTACACCCAACAGCACGAGATTTCACTTCGTTAAAGTATTGAAAGGGGACGGACGGACGGACACATTAATCTATTGCAGGCTGGTACACTCAGTTTACAACTTCGTTCCTACCAGTATAAAATAGCAATAACATTATGAACACGTTTTCAGTTTGGCGAGCTGTTCACTACCTCTCCAGGTATGCAGGAAGATGTGGGTTTCGTTCCCGATCCTAACGCCTGTATATTTTGAGTTTGCATGTCTCTCACCACCTGGTCGCACGGATTTTTCTCCGAGTCCTCCGCTTTTTCCCCTCCACATTCAGAAACGTGCGTTTAGAGTATTTGGCTGCTATAAATTTCCACATGGTAAGCCATTACTTTGAGCCATCATTTGTGGCCAGGTCGCTCCTGAAAAAGAGCTATATAGCTCAGTGGGCCTTATCTGATAAAATAAAAAAATAGTTTTTTTTGTTTAGTTTTAACTGTTTGTAAAGTGTTCCCGAATCATGTTATTTGTGTCTTTCGGTAAAGCCACGTAGACAGAAAAAAATAACAAAAAAATATCGACGATTCGATCGCAACACAAGCGGTCGTCTTCAGGAAGACGACCGCTTGTGTAGCAATTGAAACGTCGATATTTTTTGGTAATTTTTTCTGTCTACGTGGCTTTACCGTAAGACTCAAAGAATATGAATTCCTGCAGTCACGAAAGCTTTAAGTCAAGATGTTCCCGAATCAAGTAATGTATGAAGGCTCCTAGAGCAATTGCCTTTCACGGACTCGACCCGCTCACCGCTTGATGAATACTCCAAATTTTGTGGTCGCGATATGATTCAGGAATTTATTATGCTTTATTTTCCTGAACATTTTATGACAAATCGTAGTGCCTCTAGTGGCTGCAGGCGTCGTAGGAACCTCCAACATAGAGCAAAACACAAACCAAAAGCAATCGATTACCACGGATAATTCGATGCATAAAGCGTAACAATCGATTTTCATCCATAATACACGTTTTTTTGGTTAGATCACGTAAATAGAAATGTGTCGTTTAACCCGCCACCACCCGACAGCCAATTAGTAAGGTTTGTCACAAAAACAAAACATGCCAATCCGTTACTCGTACAGCACACCGCTGTGTTGGAGAGCCAAATACACAACATTTACAATCTACGACGTTTCGCCAGTAATTACAACAAGCATCGTAAGGCGAACAAGCGAACCTTACTAATTGGCTGTGTTGGGTGGTGGCGAGTATTAACGACACATTTATATTTATGTGATCGAACCCAAAAAACTTGTATTGTAGATTATATTTGTCGTAAAAGCCTACGTGTTAAATCGATTTTCAACGAGAAAATCAACTCTTTCCCTGGGAGAGAGCATCCTAGACGCATGTGTGCCTTTATGCGCCCCTTGTTGGCATCCAATCATTACGCCCCCCCCCCCCCCCCCCGACAACTCTGCCCCGGCTGCTCATGCCAGGTGGACCTGCGCTTCGTGCGCGTGCTGAGCGGGGTGGCCACGCAGGGCGTTAGCTCCAACGCCACGGGGCGGCCGTATTACGTGACGTCGTACCGCCTGGAGTACAGCACCTCAGGGGACGACTGGACCGTGTACCGCGATGACAAGAAGAGCAAGGTGAGTCGTGCTGCCGACCCGAGCACCAGCCGACTCGTTCACCCTGGCGCGCACACTTGCCCAATTCACTCTAGTGGTTGCTCGTTTGCCTGCTTGCCAGCTCACTTGCACACCCGCTGAAATATTCACTCACCCACCTACCTACCCACTTACTAACATATTCATATACAAACTCACATATTAATACACGAACTCACATGCTCACTCACTTATTTACCTACCAACACATTCACTTGTCCACTCACCCTCCAGTTTAATCATTCATCCACTCACTCATAATTCTACTGATCCAAGTCACTTGCAAATGAGACTATCCTTGTCTAATGAGTTCTCACCTGGTTCAACAAAATGAACTTAAACACAATAATCTTGAAACGCAGTCACTTACTCACTCATCACTCATTCACCCACGCATCACTCATTCACCCACGCATCAACTTACCTACCCACCAGCTGACTTTGTGCCATTACTTGCCTGATTATAAATGTACTCTCCAATCGGATTCCTCTTGACGTCAAACACCTGCTGCTCACCTACTCTGAATGATCAAAGAAAGCCACGTCACTCACATGCATACTCACTCATTGAAATATACACATACACACACGCATCAGTATAATTACCATAGCAATCACTGGTATAGCAAGAGCAGCATCATTATTGTTTTTTTTATCAGCTGTTAATGTTCTACTTATTTTGCTTGCGTGCAAGGTTAGAGCATTTGGCAGTTTTTCTTTTATCAAGAACAATGAACAAAATATCAGATTGGTGGCGTTGAAATATGTGACTATTGAGCGAATGGATAAAATATCAGTAACTTTTGCATAAGTTGTATTAATATGACAATGAAAGCAACATTATGATGATGGAAAATAATTGTTCACTGTGCGTTCGCCTTCATTATCATCTCCAGTCAGTGGTGTCCATATTGTAATTGTGTCGATTATAATGTCTGTTGATAACCACGTTCTTTAATGAAGAGAGACATTGTTACATTATAGGGCATTCAACAAAGAGCAGCGAAGAGATATTTTAATGCACATTAATAATTTTAATTTTTCGATCTATATTTTTTTTCGATTTCATAATATTCCTCCCCTCTGATCATTGAACAGGTTTTGCACCTCTGCACTTCTGTCAGCTTAAATTGGTCAAAGACTCTGGGAAATATTTCTATACATGAACTGAATTGCTTCATTTCAAGCTTTAAAGACAGTAGCCTGGCTTCCATGAAGAAATATTGAATTGTTTCTGTTCACAGCCATGTTTGTAGTCATAGTGATGTGATTTACACTTTGTCTTTACAATAGTGGCTTGATTTTAATAGCTGTCTGTGATTGGATGGAATCTGTTACATGTACTGTACCTTACTTTCAACTCATTCACCGCATCCTATGTCATTTATTTATTTGAACGAAATATAAAGGGCATGCGTTATTATTCTGCTCGCGAGTAGGATAGGTTTCTTGGAAGGGTATACACCGGATATTTGTATCCATCCGTATCAATTTACAGGAAAGTTTGATTTTATTTAAACATAACCAATTATGTGGTGATGCTGTGTCAGCAGTGGTGCACAAGCAAGGTTTCCAAGGAAACTTAACACATTTGTCAAAAACACTGTCTTAAAATATAAATATACAATATGAGATGTTCTGGGCAATGGCCGTTCTTAATAGCGCATGAAAAATGGTCATTGCTTGCAACATCACCACTTATATATTTATAAAGTCACAGTGTTATTGACAAATGTGTCGTTATTTTTATACATATTATTTAAATAACCAAAAAAACTGGAATTGGACACACGGCAAGTGTTGTAAATTTATGCTTGACACGTCCTGTATCTTTTTCATGTAGACAAATGCGTGTGGATTTTGCTGCTGTCATTGATATTGTGTATTGCCAGCTGTGATGGATTACCTGGGGCACGTGTGTGAATAAATTGTGGATCACGGGCTGCAGGAGCATCAAGAATCCGATTATTAAATTAGTTGTTTTCCAGTCACGGGCCAGGTCACAGCACGGTGTGTCACTTGACATACAGGAAAATAACGAAAGCAAACGTACACATGTATACACATGCACGCCTACGTACACACACCGAAACGTACACGTGCACAAATATCCACAAAAACAAAGGCTTTTGCGGCAAGTGCTATTAGCAAGCACCTATGCAGGTTGGCGTGGCACACGAGGGGGTGGGTGACCAGCACCACGCCCGGCAGCCTTCATTTCCCTTTCGTTGAAATGTTTTACACATTGCACCAGGTACTAATTTGTGACTGAGTTGATCTCAGGCATGGCCAGGGCTGGTTCAGAGAATTATCACGAGTGTTGGCTGTGAGTGGGAATCGAACTTGCGTAGTCGGGTTCATAACGCAGCGTGCTAACCTCCCCCCCCCCACACACATGCACACAGTTGCTTTGGTGCAACGAGCCGTTGAGCCGTCGGAACTTCCACGGGGTCCAGCCTGTGACGCTCAATCTTCAAGACGTTATTACGATTCCTTCGGATGATGTCGGCTACACTGGCGGGCGAGCATTGATAAGTGAGGAGCGATAAGCACTGGCTGGGCCATTGTTTATCGATTGTAGGACATATTTCTTCACCGAGATAATACATTAACTTGGCTGCAGTGTGAATCATTCTGACCCTCAGAGTGGTCCTTGACTCGCCACCCGCAAGGGGCACCCGCTGTCGTGAATGCCCGCGCGATCTTCTGCTGCGGCGGTGGCAATGCATCGTATATAGACCAGCAGTCGGTCGCCCTGCTTTGAACTCGTGGTATGGATTGCAGATGCATCCTGAACGCTATGCCAGTCAGGAGCGGCAGCAGCGTAGGAGGCCCGAGAGGCTGGGGGGAGGGGCTGTTGAGGGGGATGTTTATAGAATTATGGGGAGATGATTTTGTCACTCAGGGCTGCAGTCCGGCTTATTCCACAAGCAGCCCCTCTGTTTTCTGGATGTGATCCTTGCCCAATTGGCTTCCCTCGTTCATCGTGGCACTCGCTGCATCCTCCACGCTGGATGCCTCCTTTCCACAATCCAATATTTTTGTCCCCCAAATGTTTTCTGACTTTATTTCAATGACAGACAAAAATAAATTTACACGTAGGCTTTCGCCACCAATATCATCCATATTAGAGGTATTTTGGGTTAGATTGTAAATGTTGTGGCTTGGCTCTCCAACACACCGGTGTGCTGTATTAGTGATGAATTGGCATGTTCTGTTTATGTGACAACCCTTACTAGTTGGCTGTGTCGGGTGGTGGCGGGTTTTAACGACACATTTATACATTTACGCGATCTAACCCAAAATACCTCTATTATGAAAAAAAAACTTTTTCCCATTTGCCAAGTAATATCATGGGCCAGTCGTTTCACCAGTCATGTCGGCTATATCTTCTGCCACTCTGCATCAGGCCTGCTGTATGCCAGCTGGAAATTTAATTTATTGTCTCTTTTTTTCGGCAATAATATTGCAATTGAGTGACGATGCACCCTGCACTCTCTTGGCAAGAATCTCATTTTATATATATACCAAATTACGTATTGATTCTGAACTCCCAATCCATCGTTGTTTGTGTTGTTTTTGGTTCCGAAGAGGACATTTTCACATGCACTGCAGAACCGCTGCCTTGATCTGTTAACCTGCAGCTATACAAGTGTGTGGTTCATGACAACACTGTGCCCTGGCTGTTACAACAAATCCAGCCATCTGATAAAGTAGACTTCAGGGGCAGTGTGGTGTGCAGCAAAATCCATTGTTCTAGTATACTACAATGCTCCCGTGTCTATGTTCCCTACTTTCACAAACCTGCATTGACCAGTGTGGTCAACTATGGCCAAGCAACTCCTACGACCCGTACGTAGAGTGACACAGGAATGTACGTGAACACATACACAGAGCAGTCATCCAATAGCTCACTCCCCACTGTTCTTCACATGGGTGTCGTGAACCAAAACTGTATACTGTAGAGGAGAAGTTCGACTCGTTTTTGTGATGATGGCATTTGCGTGATTTCAGAAGTGTTTACGATCTCGCGCTTGTGTGTGTGCGATTGCCCCCCTATCTGCATGAAGCGCCACAGTTTACCCCTCAATCACACAGAGGCGTTTAACGCAGTGCGGCAGATAGCGGCGTACGGACGCCATCTCTCATAGCACGAATCTGACTTTCCCATAAACCACGTGCGTGTTTATAAGTAAGCTCCCAGATAAAACCGTGGCCCGCGGGCCGGAGTCTTAGAAACGAAGCGTTTGGAATATCAGAGAAAGGCGTTGCGGGCCGTCGGCAAATTAGAGGACGTTGCTCGGTTTGGCCATTCGCGAAATGCTCCATAAACGCGCAGGTGCTGCGTTCGCATAAATGGATTCCAATTATAAGTGCCCGCGTGGCCGGTGCCACACTTAATAAAGCTGTTTTGCATGAAATAAAATCCCATTAAAATCCCATTTGCTTAATTTAGTAAACAAGCGAGGTGGCCATGCCGGTCCGTTGGGTGCCACTGTTTAAAGACCCCCTGCTGTCAAGAGGCCTTATTAGTCCTCTGCTTATAGCGGTTCTATAGTAGTTAATGTTGTCGTCGGAACCAGGCTCCATATTTTTTACGGTACAGTTTTTAACGGAAATTTCATTTTATTCAAAGTTATTTTCTTTCACTTTGAAGAGCTGTTCAACAGCAGCATATGCATCAATTAATTAATTATTTAAACAATTCTATCCATCTTCTTTGGTTCTTTTGGTAAAGTCACGTAGAATGAGAATAAAATAATAAAATAACACAATAAAATTCTCACGACGTTTCGGCCACAACGTGACTTTACCAAAAGAACCAAAGAAGATGAATCCTTGCAGCCACGAAAGCTTTAAATCGAAATTCTATCCAATTATAGCATTGAGTGATGACATTCAAAAGCCATGATTTAAATTTATATAGGGTTTGATTAAAAAAAACGATCCTCCCCATAGCTATCTGCGTAAGATGAACCGAA